GCTTCTTCTTCAATATTTTCAGTAGCTTCTCAAATCCTTTGTCAGGCACACCATTCTCTGCCTTCCACTGCAGCAATTCCTGTACGGTACCGAGCTTTGTGTTGCCATCTTCGCAATTGAGGTACAAACTTTTTTTGTGATCCTCTAACATGCGATCGAACTTCAGCTTCTCCTTTTGACTTTCCCACTGTCTCCTTGCATCAACAATGACCCGGTGGAGATAATCATCGGGCACATTGTATGGTTCCTCTTGATCTTCAACAGCTTCCTCCGTTGAAGCATCACCGTATTCAGGGGGCACATAGTTGTCATCGTCCTCTTCTTCCTCGTTGTCTTCCATCATAACCCCTATTTCTCAGTACTTGGTCCAAACATTTGAGTGTGGCATGAAACCCTTATAAAGAAGGTGGGTGTGAATGGTTTTTGAGTCAGAGTAAGACTTCATATTCCCACATATAGGGCATGGACAACACATAAAACCATTCTGCTTGTTTGCCTCAGCCACTTCGAGAAAATTATGCACACCCTTAATTGATCCAACGGCATAATGATACCAAGCCTTGGTATGAATGGTATATTTTCTAATCTTTCTACTCTTCAAGCGCATTGCATCCATCTTGATCTTGTGATCATCGACGACATCCGCAACATGTAACTCCAATATCATCTTCTCCTCCTCAATATTTTTATTTTTTCCTTCAAGAAATTTCCGGTTAACATGCCTCCTAGAAAAATAAAATCTATGTCACGTTGGTCGGATACCAAATAGTTATAAAAGATAATATACACCACATCCGAATCATAGACAGGATGAGAGCCGACCGGGCGGATACCAAAACCATCGCACTATATAATACGAAGCAATAATAAAAGTAAGAAAATTATACATGTATCTATCTAAACATACAAGTAAGAATTTTTTCCTTTCAGAAATAAGATAAGAACAAGAGGCTCACCACGGTGGTGCCGGCGACGAGATCGGCACGGGCGATCGACGGCGCTGAAGACGGGGACGGGACGTGACGAACGCTAAACCTAGACAAATATTGAGGAAAATGGAGCTTGGAGATCGAGCTTGGAGAGGAGAAAGCTCAAGTTGTGTGGCTCTGGTATTCCATCGAACACCTCATGTGCATAGGAGGTGAGCTAGAGCACCACAAAGCCCTCCCCTCGTCGGCCAGAAAAATCAGAGCAGTGTGGAGTGCTCTGGTCGCCGGCGAGGGGGTATATATAGGCACATCATTGGTTCCGGTTCATGTCTTGAACCAGGACTAAAGGACACCCTTTGGTCCTAGTTCAAGCCACCAACCGGGCCCCACTGTGGTGGGCCAGAAGCGAGGCCCATTGTCACCGGTTCATCCCACCAACCGGGACCAAAGGGGCCAGACGAACCGGGACCAATGCCCCCACAAGGCCCGGCAAGCCCCCTGGCCTCACGAACCGGGATCAATGCCCCCATGGGTCCCGGTTCGTGACTGAACCAGGACTAATGGACTTATCTGGCCTAAACGAAAGCCCTGTTTTCTACTAGTGATAGGTGTTCAATCAAGTCCGCTAGTTCCTTTCTTTTCATGTCACTTTCATCATTAGTCATAGGCCCTTTCATCACATGTGCAATCTCTTTCTGTACCCGTTTAACCTTCTTTTTCTGGGTTTTAACTACCTGACAATCCTACTTATGTAAGCTCTAATGGATCATACGAAGCCTCTGTAGTATGCCATTCCCCTGCACATTCAGGCCCTGTTTGGAATGTCGTTTCTACTTTGAATACGCTTGTAAAAGTTACAGGCCACCATCCGTCGTTTTCATTTCCCCCTGCAAATCGCTCCTGGCCGGTAAGATACACCCGTAAGAAAAATACACTTGTATATGTTTACACCGATTCCAAGCGCGGCCTCAAAGATGATTCATCACATGCTTGCATGAACACTAGTGGGAAACAGTACTACATTCCCTTTTATTAGGCAGTAATAAGAGGTACAATTCTCCTTTTCTCTATTGGTTCTTGAAAGATACAAAAATGCACAGCAAATGCGATTTTGCACTCTTGAGTACATACATAAAAAACAATGGTATCGCTAGCAAACAATATCCATGATGCTGAGAACTACAAATTTAATTTATTACATGCCTCATGTAATTACTTAATCGTTATTAAGGTACACACCAAATCAAAACACATGAACACCAGGAGATGGTCGAATAAAAACAGATAAGCAAATAGATTAATTATATTCTACATAGAAATTGTTATGCAAAGACTTAGATAACAAAATTTGAGGTTAATATAGCAACCTATCAGCCAGAAATGTTACATTCGTCAAAAAATATCTCGTCCATCTGCTACAGAACTAAAAGCTGAGAAATGACAAAGTGTTTGGCAACAGTGCATGAAGTTCAGTACAGAATGGCTAATAGAGGTCGGAGATGTCGTGAACATGAGACTTGCTAAGATAAGTATGATAACAAAATAATTTATCATACTTTTCGAGTTTCAAGATCAATCTTTTCACATAGATGACCGTTGAACATAAAAGATGGAGATACATATACTTGGTGATAATGAGAATCAGCTAACAATACAAGAAGAAAGGAACACACACAACATGTAGCATAAAAGAGTTATTGCCACTTGAGTGTTCATTACCAACAACAGTCACTAACACTATTGCTATTGCCACTGTCATTTAAATCAAACCAAGCAGGGGAGGGGGGCAGAGGTAGCAGTGCTCACCAGAGAGGCTTGTAGGCAATGCAGCGGTCGCAGTGCTGTTCAGACAACATAGTCGCATGACAGATGAGGTGGCCACAGGATGCACACCGCACTAGAGATGCAGAAGAGGGGGTTGGGGTCATCGTCGTCTAGACCAACGCATGTGAGCACCATCCAAGAGGCAGAGAGGGAGTGAGGGAGCGGGATGTACGAAGGAGAAGAGCCACCGAAGACGCGCCGGCGACAGACACAACCCCGCAGCCGAAACCCTAGCCACTAGCATACAAATGTTATCTAGACAAGTGTAGTGCATAGAAATGCTAAGTAGACAAGTGCATACAGAAGACACTCTATCTTACCATCATATTGATACAGATCCAGCAAGCCATTGTTAAAAAGGCATATTCATCTACAAATCCTGGTGCATTTGTTGGGCCATTTGGATAACTATGATGCAGCCTTTTTGAGCTTGCATCACAGAGTTTTTCCTTTATAAAATTTGCTGCCTTTTCTGCAACTTGAAGATATTCTACTGGCTGCAAAAATACCCAGAAATATGGACGGTCAAGGAACAGATTTACACGACACAAATAAACGCATTGATGTAAAGCAGGTGAAGACAAAAATCTAGTAATTTTTGGATGACTTTCTAATATAGAAGACTGTAGGAAATTCTCCTACAGTCATTCAATGTTCAAAAGAGACAAAAAATCCTCCACGACACATGAAGGGGAGATAGCCTTTTATACACACAACATCATGGTGTCGCATAACACAATGGACAGTTCATTTAAACAGTTTTAAACAAAATTCAGGGGCTGCATTCCCAGGGATTCGGTTTGAACAAGTCCAACATGTGTACAGAACAACTGAGCAAGAAGAATAAGCTAAACAACCTACACAGTAAAGACTGGCTATGGCTCTCCAGTGTTTATGGTGTGGTTACAACTTACAATTAGTCAAAAGAGTAAATAGGTGCCACGAATATCTGAACTTATCAGTATGAAAACTGTTCCAGTTCGTTACTTTCACCCATAATTTCACCTGATTTCAGCTGCACATAGTTCAGTTTATTAGATGACTAAAATGCTTAACAGGTGCTGAAATTGAACAGATCAACAGTTCAATACTAAGTATAACTCGACTATACTACATCCATATATCTGAGTATAGCACCAATAATTCAGCAACAAGAGAGAAAATAGGATAAGAGGATGCCGTAGAGGAGGGAGGGAGAGGTACAAGTGCTCAGGTTCGTAGGCCATGCAGTGGTCGCAGTGCAGATTGGCCACCGCCGTCGCGCGGCAAGGGGGTTGCCACAAGATGCACGGCAGTGACGGAGACGTGGCAGAGGAGGTTGGGGTCGCCGCCGTCCAGCCCAAAACGCGCCAACACACCGAGCTAGGGGGCGTCATCCAGGAGGTGGAGTGGGGCGAGGGGCGCGAGTTGCGATGGAGAGCAGCCGTCGGAGACGCGCCGGCGATGGACGCGCCGCCGCAAAAGAATCCCTAGCCACGGGCTAGGGGTCATGCGCGAACGCCGGAGACCGGGAGCGGCGGATCGACCAATACTGGAGGACGGAGGGGTCGGATCGCAGCTCGTCGGCGTGCTGAGCGATGGCGGATGTCATCAGAAAGTTCGAGAGAGAGAGGGATGGATGGGTGGGATTCGGCGGATCTGACAGCTACCGAAGCTGTGATGCGAGGTGAGAGGAGGGGAGGGGGACACCCGACGAGGAGCTGTGGGATAAGGGAGGAGAAGAGGTGGTGGGTGGCGGCGGTGGGGATTCAGGAGGGGGCGGTGCGAAGGAGGGAGAGATGGAGAAGTTAGGGGCGATGGTGTTAGGGTTAGCCCTTTTATATGATGAACGGTTACGCGGGCTTTAGCGGGCTTAGGCGGGCCTGCGGAACTGTACCAGGCCGTCCATGACGATTTTCAAAAATGTCATGGCGAATCCGTCATGAATCAACAGGTTTCTTGTAGTTTACCAAATTTTCCCAAGATAATTTTCACCAATGGCTAATCTAGAACTTCGGAAACAAAATAGTAAACTACATGTAACACTACTTTCAACAGTCATAATATTGATTTGTTGCTTACATAGGTTTTTACACCCAGACAAGTTTACTCAACAACGAGACATTATCTGCATGGTAATGACCACACAATTTGACAATTAGAACCACATAACATGGAAGAAGATGCTTCAAAGTTGAAAGATGTAAAGAGGAGCAGGAGCAAGCAGACACTTCATTTCTCTCAACAACTTATTAGTGCAGACTTCCTTCATGGAGATTCTGGCGAGCCATAACCAGCGAAGCCTTCGCGAAATACACCGCCATAGAAGCTAACTTCTAGTACTTCGAGAGCGTGAATGTCGTCCCATATGGCCTCGTCGTCACTCCTGATGGCAAAGTAGTCATTGTCCACGAACTCTTCCCATGAGTCGATGGAGTCATCATCCGAGCACTCATCCCAGAGGCCGTTCTCATAGCAGTCGTCAACGTGGGGGGCGACTATTTTCAGCCCAGGATACTTCTCTTGCAAAACCTTATCATCAACGTCCCAGTAGCCACGGAGATCTACGAATTTGAGGTCTTCGCACCGGGAGGTGATCTCGACGACAGCCGTAGTCGCGATGATCATGTACCCTATCTCGAGGTGGCGAAGCTTTGGCATGTTGTAGGCAATAGCACGGGCCTCGTCATTGTGGCACACCTTCCCTCCGACATCCATGGGGTGCATGACTCGCCGAAGTCTGACAAGGGATTGGCAATTCTTACCAAATGCCCCCAGAGCACGAGCGCCAATCTTGGTGCAGCTGCTTACATCAAGGAATGTAACTTTAGTCAGCCTTTGTGCAACATCTTCAACTATGTATTCACTGATCTCGCTCCTTGGAATCTCCACAGTCTTGAGAGATTGTGCACTTGCAAATGAAAACAAGGTTGGCTAAGTAAGGTTTACTGAAATATAGTGTATAGGGTTATCGGCAAACAAAGTACTATAACCCTTGTACTAGTATGGTTGTGACAAAAACAAAACCAAAATGCACATTGCTCAATTAAATGCTATTAACCATGTGTATGAACTAAGTTTGTAACATCCTCACAATAAGAAAATAAATGATAGTCAGGAAGCACTGGAGCATTGTCGGTTGAGGAAATGGTTGGTAATACCATTTTGAACATGTTCTTCTACACAGATGTGCGGGATCGGGTACCATGTTCGCAAGATTTCTCACTATCAGGAAATAGATTAAGCCAGGGGAGCATGATTGTGCTAGTAACTTTGATAGACCACCTATAACTTTGTATTTATAGATTAACACACTTGAATGATACTACCCCATTTTTATTTATGCAATTGAATGAATAATTAACAAGCATTTACAAAAATAATTGGCACAATATATGCACAATTGTTTATAGATGATTGGATTCAGCGATAATAGAGGACCTTATTGTGTAAAGACAAATACAACAGCAAGGCAAGTAATTCTGGAATCAATTATGTTACACATAACGTACTTGTTTTTGTTCATTAGCACATGTCTCTCTAATCAATAGACGTATTAACATTCATGCCCGGTGTTTCTCACATATTTTGACCATCGACTGTTGAATCGTGTTCTCTAACCAATCTCCGCCATCCATTTTCTTACCGTTGGCGCTAAAACCATACTACCCCCTAGCGCCCTTTTGTTTACAGTGGCCGCCACCTTCTTAGTTCCCGCCCCTCCTCCTCTTCACCCTCACCTCCCCTCCTCCCTAACCACCTCAGTGATCCATCTCCTATATAATGCAATAACACATCCATCATATTTCCCCTGCCACTACACCTGTGGCAATCTAAACCATTTTTGTCCAATGAAAGTCCGTATGCATTTTGCAAGGATGGTACACAATCTGTAGAACTACACCAGAAAGTATGCATCTTTCCACGGGGCTAATGGTTTGTTGTTGCTGCTCTCTCTCTCTCTCTCTCTCTCACGCCGGACAGATGTGGAAGAAGGAGCACACTTTTTTTCCCGTCGACCAACACCCCGGCGACGAACGCCCCGGCGCCCAAACGCCTCCTTTATATTCAGCACACAGGCTACATCACTACAACACGGGCTCAACTTGATCAGTACATGGAGGAGGGGTTTTTATACCCGTGCACACACACCACACGGCCGGCACACCCGGCAACTAACTCACGCACTAAGCTAACCACTACATGCACGATCCATATCCATACATGACCACATGATCCGCCGGGCTAGCCCATGCATGCACTAGCATGACCTGGCCAACCATCTAGCTAGCATGCAACAAACTCCCTCCAGCCGCGCGCAGGCCGCACGACTCCAAGAGATCGCAACGGCTCTGCGCATGCAGCTCCTCCAGTCCAAGAACGCAACCACGGGTTCACGCCGGGGGACACACACGCTATGGACTCGACCTGGTCATCTTCATGCCGGTCACCATCGCCATGTGCATGGTTTATTGCCATCATGGTTCACCACTAATAATAATAATTAAAAAACACATTGTTCCCATCTAAGTTATCAAATCTCATGAGGAAAGCATCACCAACATAAAAATGACTTTGACTAAAGAAGACTACTTACTGGTCTGCGATGAAGGCGGACACTGAGTCGTTGGGAAGCCTGGACACTCTAAGGCGGTCGCACGAGCCAGCGCTGCGAGCGAGGGGCATATGAACCATGCTGGTGATCTGGTCAGGCTCGCTCTGCTGGCTCCACTCCTGAATGTCGATGTCCTGCCAGCAGTCGGGCCCTGAAACCACCTGGCTCCAGAGTTTACAGAAGATGAGGCCTACGGCATCTCGTGCTAGGTCCTCCCAACATCTGTCCTCACTGCATTCTTCCATCCCTGATGCTTCCGATCCAGGACCGACCATGCAAGTAGTATGTCCACCTGTTTCAGGAACAATGATAAATTACCCTGTGTGGTAAAATTATCTGCTTAATCTACAGAGTTGAAGGTTTGAAATAGCATATTCAGAATTTCATGGCGACTTATATTAACAGTATGAAAGTGCTTTCCTATACCATGAAAAAAAAATCCAGATAATCAACGTTTATTACGAGATAATAAGTCGCCAATAAAAAGGTGAGGATGGTTCATTTCTACACGCCTAAACCCCACTATGTGCGAACCAACCGGTGGTTGGATGTCTTGGAGAACAGCGGTATCCCCAGCCCACCAGGGTTAAGTCCTAGACTTGCTGTTGGTGCCCACAGTTTCCTAGATTTGTTTCAAGCCTGCCGGCGATGTGCGTTTAGTGGGAGGAGACGTTCCCGTTGACTACGAAAGCGACTGTTACGACTTCGTCAATTTCAAGATGATGAATTGGCTCAGTGTCACACATGTGCTCATATGGATAGGGTGTGAGTGCGTGCGTTCATAGGCTGAGTGTATGCGCAATTGCGCATATGTATGACTGTATGCG